CTATTACAGACAGCATTATACTTCAAGATAAATATTGAAATCTTTTTTTGATGATGAATGCAACACCATTCCTTTTTACTGTCATTCCCATTATAGTAAGTTGTGTGGTTGTCACATTCAAAATGGCCCATAAGAGTCCATTTCAATTTACTAATGTCTAGAATATCCATGTTTATGTGTTCCATTTCATTTTTGACAACTTCAAATTTTCCTAAATTTATACACATACCTTCCATGTTCTGATTATTAATGAACGTTTATGGCTGTTTCTCCTCATTTTTAGCTGTTTCCCATCAGCAAATGAAGGTCCTGAAAGCTTTATTCCATCCACGTCAACATGGTCAACTATAATTTGAGAAGGCCTTCAGTAGTATTTTGAGTCCTTTCCTACCTGAAGGACTTATCTTCTGGCACAATATTTGACAATATTCTGGTGCTGTTCATCATGTTTCAATATTCAATATTCTGGTGCTATCTGACAGTATTTCACTGCTATTCATAAGGTTTTCAGTGGCTAAACATTTGGAAGTACTCTGCCTCTCCTTCTGAGTCTATCTTTGTCTGGAAGCATAGCTGAAACCTATCCACCATGGGTGATTCTTCCTTCATTCCAAATACCAATGGCATAGCTTCCAGGATCACAGCCACAGACAAGCGACTACAGCGTGTCAAACTGACAGGTAAGTGGTAGGTTCTTCTAGTAGCATGTGAATTTGGCAACCAAAATTCAAAAGCATCAATTATTTTTTTATCTTCCTTACGCATTGTCCAGCTTTCATGTAAATCTGAGCCAACTGAAAATACCATGGTTTGGCTTAGACACACATTTGTCTTCAAAGTGATATGCTTTAACATTTCATAGAGGTCTCTGGTAGCAAATCGGTCATTTGATGTCTTGACTGCTGCTTCTGGGGCATTGTTTGTGGAACTGAGTAAAATAAAATCCCTGAAAACTTCAGTCTTTTCTAGATTTATCACATTGTTTAGTATTGGTCCAGCTGCAAGAATATTTGCTTATTGTTGAGGTCTGAAGTCTGTAGTCTTTGATCTTCATCAGTAAGTGTTATATATCAGCTTCATCTTCATCAAAATTAGGCTACCTTCATCTCACAAGTTGTTAACAAGTCTTCTTCCATTACTGATACCACAGTCTTCTTCATATAGTCTAGCTCCACAGATTACTTGATCAGCACACAGATTGAATAAATCTGGTAAAAGGATACAGTCCTGACCATTAGCTTTCCTGACTTTTATTCACACAGTATTCCCTTGTTCTGTCTGAATAACTGTCTCTTGTCTATGTATTGGTTCTGCATGAGCACAATTCAGTGCTCTAGAGCCCATTCTTAACAATTGCATCCGTAAATTTTGATGATCCACACAGTCAACTGTCTTTGCAAAATCAATAAAACACAGGTAAATATCTTTTTGGTATTCTCTGTTTTCAGCCAAGATTCATCTGACTTTAGCAAAGATATTTCTCATTCCACATTCCCTTCTGAATTGGGTTTGCATTTCTAGCAGTTGTCTGCTGATGTACTAATGCTATGTTTTCTTTTAAATTATCTTCAGCAAAATTTTCCTTATATCTGATATTAATAATATTGATCAATAATTTATGCATCCTAATGGATCACCTTTCTTTGGAATAGGCACAAATACAGATCTCTTCCAGTTGGTGGAGGTCACAATAGAGTGATGATAAGTACTGTCATCACCTGGTACTTTGGAATGATAATAAGTGACATCTATACTGGTATGGCAAAGAGCTCTGGTTGCGTAGTGGTTACGAGTCGGGATGCCAATCTCAAGGCCAGCAGTTCAAAACTACCAGCCGTTCTGTGGAAGAAAGATGAGGCATTCTGCTCCCGTAAAGATTTACAGCCTTGTGCAGGGTCACTATGAGTTGGAATCGACTCCATGGTACATAACAACAACATACTGGTGTGGCACTTCAGGTTAATGTACTGAACTACAAGGTCAGTTTGAACCTCAAGGTCCGTAGTATAAGTTCACCAGCACTCCTTGGAAACCCTATACAGGGTTGTTGAGTTGAAATCAACCCCATGACACTAGACAACAACAAGTACATTTAATAAAAATGATCATCTTTCAGTATTCTAGTTGCTTTGTGTATACTAACTCACTTAATTGCTTTATTGATGACAATTCTAAATTACATACAGGCTAAAAATCTTGCAGATCAGACTCAATGGCACCTAATAACCATAATACTAAATTATAAAACATAAACAGGAAAAATAAAATGCAACTGTAATTTCAACCAAATACAATGAAGGTAGATTGCCTTGGTTCACATTTCTCTAACACCTTAGTAGAATGTGATCTGCAAGATTCTTAACCTCCATGTAATTTAGAATACTCTTCAATAAAGCATTTAAGTGAGTTAGTATATGCAAAGCAACTAGAATACTAAAAGCTAATAATGTTTATTAAATGTATGTTGTTGTTGTTGTTGTTTATAAGTGCCATGGGATCAGTTCAGACTCATAGCGACCCTATATAGAGTTTCCCAGGAGCAGCTGGTGGATTTGAGCTGCCGTCCTTTAGGTAAGCAGTCCTGTGCTTAACTTACAGAACCACACCAAAAGATAGGACATGATATTTTCCCTAGGCACTATTATGTTTGCTGCTTTCTGATCTTATGAATTCTATTTCTGATTATATCTTGTTTCACCACACAGTCAGATAACTTGGAGCACAGACAATATGAAATTCAGTTAGAGCAAGTTTGTGAGTTCTTATGCTTATTGTATTTTGCATTTAATTATTTTCTTTTGTCTCACTATTATCATCATCATCCTGCTAGTAATCAATACCATCATTTTCATAATATTTGCTCTATCTGCATTGTAAATCTTCCTGTGGTGTTGTTGTTAGATGACGCTCAGTCAAAATAGTGCCCAGTCCTATGGACCACAGAACAAACAGTGCAACCGCCTCACAGTCATTCCTGTGTTTGACCTCATTGTAGCAGCCACTGTGTCCATCAATCCTCCTAGGTTGTTATTGTTGTTAAGTGCCAACAAGTTGGTTCTGAATCATAGCGACCCTGTATAGGGCTTCCAAGAAGTAGCTGGCAGTTTTGAACTGCTGATCTTGTAGTTAGCAGTCTAGTGCTTATCCTATAGCATCACACTAGAACTATAATCTTTCTGTAGGTCTGCTCAAATTCTTGGTGAAATTAGACCAAACACAGATAAATATAGTACATTATTTATTAATTATTCAAGGAGTGTGCCTGAAATGTTTTCTGAACCATTTTTTAAAAAAGGTTATATTCAGTACTGTTGAAGATTTAGAATAATCCACTGAAATTTTTACTTTAATGTTCTGCAAAGTGCTAATCCTTATATGTTATATATGTTAGCAGCTTTCTAAAACATTAAGTAGGTTGAAATACTCAGATACCAACTATCAACTGTCATAATGACTCAAAGTCATTATTCTTGGAAGTTAATATACTGTGCATTATGTATTTATGTAGTGCTGCAGGATATGCATTGGTTTTCTAACCACAAGATTCAAACCCACGAACTACTCCTCAGAAACCCTAAGAATCAGAACCAACTCAACAGCACTTAGTATAATATAACTTAACTTTCAAAAAATCTTAGTAAATAATTTAGGTTAAACAAAACTGAAGTGCCACTAGAAAGTTTATACAGGCACTTTAATTACTTATAATTACATTCTGAATATTCAATGTCAGACCATACTAGTTATTAAAATTTTTTTTAATACTATCCCTGGAAATAAGCCCCATGGATCTTACCTGTTGTCACACCATGAACCACTCCTTGCTTGGTTTTGGAACCTACAAGAAGAAACAAATTTTAATTTAAAATACAAATTTCAAACTGACTTTATATTGATGATTAATTAGTTTTATTTAAATACAACTAACCTGAAAATCTCAACCTTCAGGTGAGATCATATATGATGATCTCAACCTTCGGGTAAGATCATATATCACCATATATGATGATATTCTCAAGAAGAACAATGCCTAAAGGAAGGGAATTAAGTTACAACAAACAGAAGAAAGGAAAGCTAACAGGAGGTTCTCCCCATTTAAGATTTTAACACACAATGATGACTTTGTATCGCTTGCTTCCCATTTATATATCAATTTGCAAAGGACAAAAAAAATGTGTGATAGCACTGGAACTAGGTGGGAAAACAACCTGGGATTCAGAACTATAAAAGATTTACCAACGTACAACAGAAGGATTAATTAACCCATGAAATACAAGCAGAAAGAAAAGTAAAAGTAGGCATTAACGGTTGTTAGAAAAATATTATGTGAAAGATATTTTATACCTATTTCACTTAATCTTTATAGAATTGATTTAATACAGGTACATTACAAATATTTTATGTATGTCAACCATGAAAATTAAAATTAAGCAATTTAGCTAATCACCGAGCATCTGTCAGTCTGTCATACTGTGGAAGTCTAAGTGCTACTGTGATTCTGGAATGTATGCTGCCAGTACTTTAAATATCAGCAAGGTAAATCATGATGAAAAGATTTCAAATAAGATTCCAAACTAAGACAGACTAGGGAAAAATAGAGACAGACTATTCCTGAATATCTAGTCGCTAACAGCCTTAGATATAGCAACAGAACACCGTCAGATAGCACCAGAATAAAGAATATGGAAACATGATGAAGAGCACCAGTACATTGTCAGATATAGTGCTAGAAGATGAGCTCCTCAGGTTGGAAGGTACTCAAACTTCGACTGAGGAAGACCTATCTCCTCAAAGTAGAGTTGATCATGATGACAAGAATGGAGTAATCCTTTTGAGACCTTTATGTGCTGATTGAACACAATTCGAAATAAAAAGAAACAGCTGTAAACATTCATTAATGATCTGAATATGAAATGTACTCAGTATATGGAGGACCTTGCTCCTAAATCAACAAAATGGCATCTCACCAGCCCCTAAGTGGCGTCTAATAAAGTCCTGCTTAAGCTTCCAGTCTCCTGAAACCTTAAGTCTTTATTACACCAAGAGACCTTCACCCCCACCCCCCCACACTTCCACCAACCCCAGTTTCAGGTTTCAGGAAAATCTCCATAACGCCACCCATTGGAAGCTTGGGAGCTCTCCAGAACTGTACCCAGGACTGCACCACCTTAAATATTTAAATACACCAGTCTGTAAGACACAGGCAGGTTCTTGGTCTCTCTTGCCTTTGAGGTCCTCCTCCCAGGTTTACTCTCAGTAAACCTGCCTACTGTTGAAGGCAAGTTTCTCTACTTGTTTCTTTCTTTCTTATTTCTTACAGCATGAATCTAGGAAAAATGAGGTTGCCAAAAATGACATTGAAAACATAAACATTAATATTCCAAAGAATAGAGAGTTGAAATGGACAGGTATTGGCCATTTTGAAGCTGATAATCACATGGTTTACTATGCTGAGAATGACAAATTGAAGAGGAATGGTGTTGCTTTCATAATCAGAAAGAACATTTCAAGTTCTCTGTTGAAGTACAGCTCTGTCTGTCATAGTATAAAATACATATGCCTAAAAGGAAGATCAGATAAAACAACTATTATTCAACTATGCACAACAATCACTAAAGGAAATGATGATGAAATTGAAGACTTCTACTAACTTCTTCAGTCTGAAATTGATTAGACATGCAATCAAGACACAGTAATAATCAGTGATGATTAGAATGTAAAGGATGGAAACATAGAGGAAGGATCACTCATTAGAAAATATGGCCTTGGGTATAAACGATGCTGGAGCTCACATGATAGAATTTGACAAGCTCAATGACTTCTTTATTGAAATACTTTTTTTTTTTACATTTTTATTGTGAATTGGGTAATAGTTTACATGGGAGAGCATCAGCTTTACATTCATCCTATCATATTTCGTTTCACTGCAATGGTTACAATCTCCTCCATGCATCATCATTCAACAGCATTTGCTTCCATTCCCTCTGTTTTGTGTGTGTGTGTGTGTGTGTGGTTTTATTTTTTGGGGGTGGTGTACACTGAAGCACTCAGGAATATTACACCATTTAAACAACCAAAGAGCACACCCTGCAAGCCCACCCCACGGCCGTCAGAACACAACCCCTCTCCCTTCCTGAGTTCAGGGTCCTCAGCCTGCACATATAATGCAATCCCAATCCAGATTCCAATGACATTCTTCAAAAAGATGGAAAAAACAATTACAAACTTTATATGGAAAGGAAAGAGACCCAGGATAAATAAAGCACTGCTTAAGTAGAAAAATAAAGTTAGAAGCCTCTCACTCCCTGATTTCAAAAATTTATTACATGGCTACAGTGGCTTCGCGGGAGAAAGATGAGGCTTTCTACTCCCGTAAGGATTTACACCCTCGGAAACCCTGTACAGGGTCACTATGATCAGAACAGACTCCAGGGCACTTAACAACAACAACAACAACAACAGTGGTGAAAACAGCTTAGTACTGGTATAATGAAAGATACACAGATCAAGAATCCAGAAATTAACCCATCCACATACAGCCAACTGATTTTTGACAAAAGGCCTAAGTATATTGCCTGGTGAAGAGATAGTCCAACAGATGGTGCTGGCAGAACTGGAAAGGGATATGCAAAAGATTGAAAGAAGACCTTCACCTCATGCCTTATACAACAACCAACTCAGCATGGATTAAACACCAAAATGTAGATCCCAGAATAAAAATAGCCCTCAACGAAAAAATGGGGACAAATTTGAGGGCTATGATACAGAGTACACAGAGTCCTGGTATGGCTCTGAGGATTAATGCGCTAGACTGCAAAGCCATTTGAACTGCAAGGTTGGCAGTTCAAGTTCACCAGCTACTCCTGGGAAACGCTATACAGGGTAGCTATGCGTCAAAATGCCTCAACAGCACTTAACAACAACAAATACAGAGCAAACACAGACTACCAATCATGGTAAAAATTGCACAAACTAAAGAAGACAAAATAGATGATTGGGACAAACTAAAAATTAAAAACTTATGTGCATGAAAAGACTTCACCAAAAAAGTAAAAAGGGACCCCACAAAATGGGAAAAAATCTTTTCAAACGATGCATCAGACAAGGGACTAATCTCTAAAATATATAGGAAACTACAACATGTCTTCAAAAAAAGACAAATAACCCAATAAAAAATGGGCACAGGACATGAACAGACACTTTACCAAAGAAGAGATTCGGGCAGCCAACAAACATAGGAAGAAATGTTTATAGTCACCAGCTGTTGTTGTTGTTGTTAAGTGCCATCGAGTCAATTCCGACCGATAGCAACCCTGTATACGGTTTCTGAGGAGCAACTGATGAGCTTGAACTGCCAACCTTACAGTTCAAATGGATTTGCAGTATGGTGCATTAATCCACAGTGCCACACCAGGACTCCATAGAGAGATGCAAATCAAAACAACAATGAGCTATCATCTCACACCAGTCATAGCATTGAAGTCCAAAAAAGCAGAGGACAACAATTGTTGGTGAGGATGTGTAGAGACAAGGACCCTCCTACATTGCTGGTTAGATTTGCAAAATAGTCCAACCACTCTGTAAAACACTATGGTGCTTCCTCAGAAAGTTGGAAATAGAAATACCTTATGATCTAGTAATCCCTATACTTGGTAATGATCCACAAGAAATACGAGTCATATCAAGAATAGATATATGCACACCAATGTTCATAGCAGCACTATTTACAATAGCAGAAAAAAATGGAAACAGCCTAAATACCGATCAATGGAAGAGTGGATAAACAAACTTCGGTTCATATACACAATGCAATATTATGCTACCTGGAAGAAGAACAAGGAAGCTGCTATCCACCGCATTATATGATTGAACCTTGAGGACATTATGCTGAGTGAAATCAGTCAGTCAAAATTGGAGAAATACTGCATAGGATCATTACTGCAAAAGATTAAGAAAAAATGCCCACACTAAATGGGGAAAAAAAGAAAAATTATTTGTTGGTTACCAGGGTGTAGGGAGTGGAACAAGGGGAAGGAGAGGAAGGTGGGACACAGGATAGGGAATACACACGCAACAGCTTGAGTATTGGGGGGCCAGTATTCAAGAAGGGGGACCTGAATGAAAAAACAAGGCAGATGGGAGAAAATTTAGGCAGGTTTGCATAGACTAAGTGGGACAGAGGTAAATAGTGATGTATGCACAGCACAACCTTGGAACAACAGGGCTCTGGGATATAGGGATTGAGGCATGGTTTGAATGGGTAAAAGAGGGGAAATAATGTCAAAATGCTTGACTATAATATGAATCTTAGTTTCCCTTGCCTAATATTGTAAAATAGACACGAGGGAGAGAGAAAGGAATAGTCAGAAACATCCCATCTTCAACCTATAATTGACAAGAATTCTTAAAATGGAGCTAGAATTTGCCCAGTAAAAGAGGCTTCCTAAGAGAACAAACAAGATGGAGGATCGGGTGGACGTATAGCAGAGAGCTCCGCCAACAACAACACAGAATACCTGACCAAGCAGCCTCAGGGGATGGTCCCAGAACTCTGAACCACATATAAAGGAATACTTAGAAGGTTGGAAGGCTCACAGCTGGGGGA